GCATCCTGAATCTCTGCCTAATAATCCCTTCCTGTGCCTCTTAAAGATGGCATCCTAAGAATTCTCTGTCTGGTATGGGAGTCCAGACAAAGGATGGATTAATTCCTTTCCAGCCACAAGAACCTCTCAGGCCCAGCCTGGAGACAGTACAAATTAGGTTACAAGCCATGAAATGATACACACCCATTATCTTTAAAAAATCTCAAGGGCCACACTCCCAAAACTGTTCTACAATTCAATGCAGTCCCAAGCAAAATAACAACAGCATACTTTACAGATCTAGTGAGGCTAATCTCAACATTCATAGGGAACAAACAGAGACACAGAACAGCCCAAGCAATCTGGGGAATCAGGAGCAAAAAACAGGAGGCACCACAACACCTGATGTCAGCAACAATAATAAAATGACGTGGTACTTGTATCCGCCAGTGCTTACTAGAGAAACGGATTCAATGCAAGATGTACAAATTTATAAGAATTGACAAGATTGGCTTCTGATGGCACCCACAGAGTCAGGCATGAAAGGGTAAAAAGGAGGATAGGAGGATCCAGTTGAAGGCCTGGAGCTCCATCCCCTGCAAGTCTATATCAGAAGGCTGAAGGGCCTATGACAGAAACCAGGAAATGATGTCAAAAGTGAAGGTGTAGACTGGAGCTCCTCCAAAGATACAGAAGCAAACCTTCCTTTGTCACTTCCCTTTTATACCATTCTGGTGACAATCCTCCCTACAGGGCGTCTTCCACACCCAGGTCTACGCTGAGGCAATTTAATTGGGCATTTCTTACCCAAGTTGACACAGTCAGTTAACTAACACAGTACTAGAACAAAAACATTTATGTGGATCACTGGAAGAGTATACAGATACAGAAATATCCCCAGACACATTCGGCTATTTGGTCTTTGACAAAGGGGCCAAGACCATACGGTGATACTTCAGTTCATGAACTTAATGTATTAGATGATTCTGATTGTGACCTGAATTGGTTGTAAGCTGAGTCAAATCTCCCCATAAGGTTCAATGTTAGTGAGGTTAATCTGTTCTGAGCTCTATGAATATGGTTGAGAAAAAAACTTGTTTACAAACTGAATCAAATTTTCTCTTAAGGTTCAATGTAAATAAGCTGTATGTATTTTTTAACCACAAAAATTTGTAAAAAAGTACAGTACAGTATGAAGAGAGGGAACACTAACCTTGCTTGAGGTGACTTCTGGAATGAAGGACAGAAAGGTGGATTGGAGTTGAGGTTACTATTTGGAGGGAGAGTCACCCTCCATAAGGACAGTGGGGACATGTCTTTCAGGGCTTTCCTCTCTTCTTTGTCTCTTAGGAGCAGAGTCAATTTCTAAGAAACTGTTACTTGTTTTTGTTCTATGCTCCATAACCCTCTAGAAATGAGAGAACACATTATCATCCATCAGATTCAACACTCTGTTTCTTAGCTGTGTTGGGGTGGTGCTGCTCAAAGAAATCCTAGAACTCATTCCACTGTTCCATAATGGATTCTATCACAGCACTGCTGACCTCCTCCCTGTCTTCCCTTTCCTCAGTAGAATGCTTCTCAACAAGCACTTCTTCTGCTTATTCCCGAGTTCAGCAAGTTCTTCCATCATCAGCTCCCCCTTATCATCCTCAAAAAGCTCCCCTATGTCTGCACCACCGATGTCCAGACCCATTCTTTTGCCCATGGACACAATCAGACCCTTCAAAGTCACAGTGACATATCCTGGCCACAGTTTCCTCCAGGCTGATTTTAACGTCTGAAATGTGACATCTTCACAAGTATTATCAATGAGGTTGATGCAATGGACAACACTGAAATGTTTCTTCCAGAACTCTTTCAGAGTCGGGATGTAACCTCAGTGACACTGAAATATGTGATGAAGAGCACCTTGGTGTACAGCTTTTGAATTTGCAAATCACCTGCTGGTCCACAGGCTGCAGCAGAGGTGTACTGGGGGGAAATCTCAACCTTTATGAAGTCATACTTAGCATCCATATCATCCACTGAGGCTGCAAACACTTCATGCTGCCATTCCAGGACCAACCGCCTTGTGACCCAAGCTTTTCATTGTCCTGCCACATGACGAGCAGCCTGGCCTTGTTCACCTTCTGTTCCGTTCCTTAAGTGCATGAGTCCTGGTAATGGTGCCCCAGTAGAGGTTTGATCTTCAGACCAGCACTTGTGTTCACACACAGCAGAAGGGTTGATCTGATCCTCATGGGCTTGTGCCCTGGCGGTGCCTTTTCCTCCTGGGGGATGCGGGTTCTGTTCAGCATCTTCTTCCAGGAGAGCCCTGTTTCACCGCAGTTGAACGCTTGTTGAGCGATGTATCCTGGTTTCATGAATTCCACAAATTTTTTCTTATAGGCTTTTGCAGTGGCCTTGTCAGTACTGGAAACTTCATCATGTCATCATACTGCGAGTGTCACTTCTCTTGTGGAATTTATCAAACCACCCTGTACCGGCTTTAAATTCATCACTTGTTGCACCTGTAGAGGGTTTTCTTGTAGTAAATAATTGCGAAATTTTGGGGGGCTTTTTCACAGATCATAGCTTCACTAACGCTGCCACCTGCCGGCTGCTTCTCCTTCAACCATACTAACAAAAGTTTTCCACCTTCTCCAGCATCTGTGTCCTCTGCTTGGTTAGCATTGTTTCTCCAAATCAGTTCATTCAATGACATCTTTATTCTTCAAAATAGTTGAGCTTGTCAACTTTGCCATTTCGTATTCTAGCCCAGATCAGTCACACGAATACCAGGCCTGTGCTTTTCTACAGTTTCCTTATTGGAAATTCAATGCTTATTTCCTTCAAAACCTTCTTCTTATCATTCTTGCTTTTCACTTTTTTTGTTACCTTCATTATTACTCTGCACATTCTTGACACTTTCATTAATGCTCTGCACATCCCGGTCTCCTTCGTTACTGCCCTGAACTTTCTTTTTGCAACCACCCTCACTCTGCACTTTCTTCGGTACCACGCTGGAGTGAATAATACGTACAGTACTGTACATGCTAAAAAGCAGATGAAAAACATCACAGCAAATGTGTGCAGGTCTCTCTGTGACCATGAACTTGAGTAGAAAAAGTCACTTGTCTTCATTTTCCCTAAATGAAATCCATAAGCCCCAACCCCACAATTATGGCTGTTCAGACCCTTTCTTTCCCTACACTTTTAAGGGAGATTTATGAAGAAAGAATCTTGCCATATTCTGATCATCCAGATCTCATTAAATTCTCTGCCATCACCAATCCATACACTCTGGATAATTACAGGATAATGTACACTACGGTTTTCTGTGGCCACACTCTTGGCGGGAATCACAAGGACATCTTGTGTTAGACCTTAGAATGTGAACACAAATGTTTTGTAGCTGTTTGTTTTCAGGCTCGAGGACTCAACAGCATCTACATTTAGAACAATTCTTGGTGCCCATGATTTATCCCCCAAGTGTATAAAGAATATAAGAGAACATGGATTTCCCTTTGACCTAGGATCTTATACTCACAGTAATAGATCGTATCTATATCTCACAAAGAATATTTGTCTGGAAAAAAAATGGTAAAGTAAAGTTAATGTAGCTCAACTGAAGCTTTCTATTCTTAGAAACTCTGATAGATTGACCCTTAGCAGACATCTGTGACTTTAGATCACATATAATTTTTTACACTGTTGTAAAACTTCCCTTAAATAATAAGAATCGCTCATCATTGTGCTTAGACAATTTGTATAAATGATATGCTTCATCCTGAAAACCTTTGGATTCCCTTTAGTTTCTGGAATTTAGATTCATGCTAGGCAGAAGTTGCCTATATGTGCAGTCCCCAATGAAACTCTTAAATATTGAACCCATCCTGAACTTCCTTTATAGATAACACTGCATATACATGTGATAACTCATTCCTGGAAGATTTAAATGTGTTCTGTGTGAATCCACTGGTGGAGTTCTCTAAAAACCTGGTGTCTGTCTTCCTTTGGATTTTGCCCCAATTACCTTTCCTCTTTACTGACTCTGCTTTGTATTCTTCCACTGTAATAAATATTAGGCGTCAGTAGACTTATGTGTTGAATTCTGTGAGTCTTTGTAGTGAATCACTGAGTCTCATTCATTTTTGAGACCCTCCACATATTTCCTAAAATGGAGAATTCTATTTTCATAAAGAACCAAAGCCAGCTGTGATACAAAAATAACGCTGTCAATGCACAAAAATTTATCACTTCTACCAAAATATTTGCTTTATATGTTTGTTTTCTTAATTAATGTCACTACTAGTTTATCACAATTTCATTTGCCTCCCTTCTTTCGTTCTCAGATCAGCCACTAGCTCAATCTGAGCGCACTGAGTTTTTCAAAAGGTATTTCCTGCTCCTCTCCATATATTTGCTTATTCTGTTCCCACTGCTTTTTATTTTAAAAATAAAGGAATGAAAGCATATTAACAAATACACAGACATAAACAAAACAACACAAAAACAATAAAAGCAATACAGAATTTCAGACAAAGTGACAGGAAATTAACAATGGTTATGTGTAGTGTTGAAGTGAAATTAACAATGGTTATGTGTAGTGTAGTGTAGTACTGTTATCTTCAAACTGGTTACTCATTTAAACAAATATAGGCATGTAAGACTGAGCAAATAATTAAATATTAACTGTTCCTTTCCATAAAGCAATAGAAATCAGTAGTACAATTATCTTTAAGTGCTTCCTAATTCCTGTTGACAGAGGCCCTTTAAGGCACCGAGAGGCAGGGTAGTAGAGTGCTCCTATGGTTTGAATGTTTGTCTCCTGCAATCCATATTTTGGAACACCATGCCCCAAAACCATCTTTTAATGGTAGGCAGACATAGGACCATTGGGAGGTGATTGCATACGGAAGGTTCTACCTTCATGAGATGATTAATGAATTCAGGGATTAATGAGTTATTGGGTTACAGAAGAAGTAGCTCTTCTATAAAAGGGAGCTGTCTTTGTCATTCTTGCTCTGTCTTGCCAGGTGACATCCTGAACTGCCTTTGAATTCCACAGACTCCTCACCAGCAAGAAAACTCTGAAGAGTACTAAAGAATGGTCACATTCACTTCTCAGTTGCTCTCTGGAATACACAAACTGTGTCAGAGTTGGCCTCCATGGCACGGAGATGACAGGCCAGTATGTTCACGTCATGAGTTGTGGGCTCAAACTGGCCTCTATCTTCTGCAGCAACTCACAGAATGAGTGAGTTGTTCCTGTGCCTGAGCCCAGGAATGCCTGAGTGGGACCCTGGTTTAAGTGGTCTGGAAAAATCTCACATGGGAATCTGTCAACCACTATCAATTACCCCCAAATAAATTGTGAACAAAATAGTCACAGCATTGGAAATTTTGTTTCTTACATCTGTAGGACACTGAAAAAATACTGAAGGGTTTGTTTATCTTGGGAACCACTAGTGTTTGACTTGAGTTATAAATTTTCTTCTAAATCCAAGCAACTGGGTTGGTTGGGCCTCCTGGCTGGGTGAACTCAGAGGATATTAAAACTATATCAACATCTTCCCACACTTCCTAGCACTCAGACCATTAAGTGCTCCATAAAAGCAATTCTTCTACCACTGCAGTCCTCCAGGCCATCGACCTGTCCATACACACACGATCATATCCACCTTCTGTCTTCATGTCTTTTAAAATTTAATTAGATGCATAATTCATTAGTAATCCTTTACAAACACTCTTATCTCTACCTTAATCTCAGCAACCAATTATCCTACTTCCAGTATAGTTCATATTTTCTGGAAAGAAATTTTACAAGTGTGCAGAGTCCTATAAGGTCATGATCACCAACACAAAATCAGCATTCAGTGTTTTCCTGGCAATTCTAGTGGTTTTCTGGTAAGGTGCCTCTTTCATAGGGAAAGTAACTGTGTGGGAAGTTTTATGGAGCAGAGGAGAAATGAATTTTATTGACACCATAAACCTGATAATAAATAATATATATATAAATGTATTTTGGCTAATTACAGATATAACAAAAGTCCATCTTAATCTTTAGGCCAGTAGTGAGAACCGGAAAACAATATCCCACAGTGAGCTAACTGATTCTAGATGTGGAGGTCTCACAGCCCCGCAGGACTGATAATTTGCTGAAAATGATGGAAAATTCTAAAAAATACTATACATATAATCATATTACATTATATTTATGATTTATAAAAGGAATGCAAATCAGGAGAATCAGCCAAAGGAGGAACACATAGGGTTTGTTATGGGAAGGAATACAGAACTTCTGTGAACTCTCCCCATAGAATTAAGGTGTGTCACCTTCCTGATATATCAAAGTATTCACTAACCAAAACATTCCATTGTGTTTGTTGATCACAGCTTCAGTTTCTTTATGCAGGCCATATGGCTGGGCTCAATCTCTAGCTTTCTTTCTTTCCCTGAGGCTAGCACTTGGATTCATGTCATATAGCTAAAAATGGCAATTCTTTAATCACATGTTTTTTTTTTTTTTTTTTTTGAGGACACTCTCCCCATCCTAAACTGGTTTGCTAACACAAGTTAAATATTGGACGGCTATGAGTCAATTTAATTAGCATAAACTCTCAAAGCCTGCTATGAATAATAAAGAAATCATATCACCGTGGAAATCTCAAGGGATTAAAGTTTCCCTGTAGAGCAAGAGACAAAGGCAAAAAATTTATGATGTAATGACCATGCTGGTTACATTATTAGTACATTTACCAATAAAGAAGTGGAATATACAGGTGCATGGATGTTAGGAATCATGTAATATTTTCTCCTGCTTCTTGGCTGGCAGTTCGTATAAATCAAAGTGAACTGTTCTGTAGTTCTGTCTCTTGTCCTTTCTGTTACCTTTACAGGCAGTGACTTAAAATCTGTACCTCATTTTTCTCATTTTAAAAGGTGAAAATACATCACTTACCTCAATATCAATTACTTATTACCTATCACAACCTTTTGCTTGTTTCTATACTTTGAATGTCCAAACCTTTGTCTTTTTCATTTCCCTGTCTTTTCTAGAGCATACCAAAAGTCACAAACCAGGGAATTCTGTGGATTACTAACCAAAGATAAAATCATTTTATGGTGTAGTTACTTCAGTTACATTCACTTGGTTTAAAAGTGTGAGAATTTTTAACTAAGAAATTTTTCCTTACTCTTCCAAACAAGAACTGGAAAACTCTACCTATACTAAGGACGCAGTATGGAATACAAGTGATCTTACAGTTGAACAGTCCATGGATGATTCTACACTGTATTTTTGTTTGGCTTGTGGTTGAAATGTCACTAGATCCAAGTCACCATTACCTTGGGATGACTTCTTTCTAAAGGCATCATTATGTATTTCCCAACTCCAGAAGTTTCTGTTGTGGTACTCTGATTGTTGGGAGCAGAACTCAACTCTTCATATGGACACTGCAGGATAAGATTGGGCATTTGAATGGGCTTTTCTCCTCTAGAATCCCTCCAAAGTATGCATACAGTGGCTCAGATTGGATCATCTCCTGAACTGAGAATTAGTAATATGGTTAGAACTGAGAATTAGTGATATGGTTAGAGGAGGTCAATCAGACACTACCTTTCAAACAGGGCATTGAGCTAACTTAGTCCAAGCCAGATTAAGTAAGTATGACTTTCTGAAAAGAGAAAAAGGTACATTTTGACAATGGGGGTGATGAATGCTGTGAAGACAAATACACCTTTCCGTTCCAACCAGCATCTTACAAATATCATTTTCCTTTTATTATTGAGACTACGATATTCTCCAATGTCCTTCGTTACTTTTTACTTCTTTCGTTCTTTCTGCCTCTAACACTTTCCAACTTAATTAATTTCATCCTGCCTCTCCCTCACCCACATCCTCTCCCTGCCTTTAGTTATATCTTGCTTCAACTGCATTTAAGACACTTTGTCGTCAATCGGAGTACAAAATCATCGAGCCAACGGACATGTTGACATGGAGTTGATCCTTCTTATCCTGGAATAATCCTTCTTCCCTTGGAGTAGTTCCTCACACACTGGAAAACTACCTTCAGGAAAATTCTTCAATTAACTATCTCCCTCCTGCAAGGAACACAGGTGAAAATGATAGAAACATATTTAATCATGGACCCAATCTTTAAAAATTGAACCACCAGTATGCTGGAAAAAGTGCTCTTGACTTTGAATGCCCCATAGCATATCATCACAGAGATGAATGGGTCCATCTTTAATAGCTCAAAACTAGGATCCACAGTGCTTTGGCATGTGATGCTTACAAAAGCATTTGATTTTAATATGCAGCTGTTTTGTCTTTCTGACCTATATCCTTTCCTCTCTATAGCTTCTTCAGCTGGGGAGGAAATGCTACCATGGCAACATGTCAGCTGTTGCTACCTCCTCATAGCCTCAATTGTCTATTCAAAAGCAATTAAAATTTTCAAAGCCACTTTCAGTGAAGTTCAACGGCAGTGCAAGTGATCCTCACATCCTGTTGCCTTGGGGAATGATATGTAAAGATGCTTGGATTTCTTAGTTACAGATATACTTACATGAAATGTTAATCACATTTTAAATGTCACAGAAATTCTATCTCTCCGTTGATGAACTTCTGTAAAGGGAGGGATTCTCTCTGAATCAGTTTTGTGAAACTTTCATCCAATGGAGTGACATTTTATTTGTCACTATTTAAAATTACAGTTTTGGGTTGAATTATCACTCTCTTTATCTCTTGCCCTTTCACTTTAATTTAATTACAAACCTTAAGGAGTATGCTGTTTTCTTGACCACTTTTCCCACAGAGAAATACAGTTTTGTAAATTCAGATGAGTTAAAGCACACTCAGAAAAGAGTCCAGATGTGGTTGGTTTGCTTGTTTGTGGACCAAATGATTTACTCCATGCTATACAGCATATATTTTTAATTTTATCTTCCATATCCTTTGAGTTTTCTCTTATTTAAATGACATGAGTTTTGATTTTCAAAACTTCACATTTTTGTTTCTTGCTTTACTCTGGGACAAGCCTTCAATTTGACCTTCCAATTCAATTATTGCCTTTTTGAGCTACATATAACCCTTTATTTTCCATACTGATTGTAACATTTCGGAGGGACAGTGTGTCTTTTCTTTCATTTCAGAAGTTGGCTCAGTGACCCAGAGCATGATTGTCCATGGTGCTGAATCAGGAAGCATGACATAGCTCGGAGCAGAATGGCAGGAAGTTGGAATAAACAATAGTTTTTTTATTCCATTCTACTCTGGAGGTTCATTTTAATATCTTTAATTCATAAAGCAGACACAGACTAGAATCTGGCTTTTGGCATTTGCATACCTATTGTTGGATAGAGTAACAGGTACTCCCTGTAATAACATGATTCCAGAGACAAAAATAACCAGAAAGCAAAGGAGTGCACTTACTACAACTGAAAAGAAAAAGTTGAACAACATATACCATGGGAGGAAATATGAAAACAATAAATGTACCAAGAATTGGTGCCAGTCCTGGTGGCGCATGCCTGTAATCACAGCACTCAGGAGGCCGAGGCAGAGGATCGTTCCAAGTTCGAGACCAGCCTGGGCTACAGTGTGAGCTCAAGGCTAGCCTGAAATGCATAAAGGGACCCTATTTCAAAAAGATAAAAGAAAAGGAAAGAAAAAAAAAAAGAAAAGAAATAAACCAAAACAACAACAAGAGGGCATGGTGGTTCACACCTGTAATCCCAGCACTCTGGAGTTTGAGGCAGGAGGATTGGTGCAAGTTTGAGACCAGCCAGGGCTACAAAGTGGGTGTAGGGGAAGCCAGAACTGATAGTGAAAGCTTGCCTCAAAAAGACAAAAAAAAAGTTGCACCAATTTTATACTATTAGAAAATTGTCCTCCAAAATTTCAAGTGAAAGTACGTTCTGTAAAATGAATGTATTCTCATTTTGAAATGAAAACAGTATATGGAAGAAAAAGCAAGCTGCATATTGCTGAAGAATAAAATGCAAAGGAGAAGTTTGGACTGAGGAACTATTCCACAGAGGAGAAGAAGAGATATGGAAGATAAAGTAACAACATTGGAATAAAGGGTCCCAGAGAATCAAAAGAAGCAATTAAAGAGAGTAAAATATTTCAGATTGAAAATCTCTATTTGGGTACCAGAGAAGTGATAATTAAACAGCTTAAGACAAAATTTCATAATTTTCAGAAGAGAATATCTAGCCAAAAGCCACGATGGAATGAATAGCAATACTTTTAGCAAAAATAAATTATTTAAGGCAGTGATCTAGGTGCAAAATATATGCCATTAGCTTCACAAATAATAGCTGTTGTGGATTGACAACTGGTGGTCAACTTGTAACACCCAGC